AAAAAGAGACAGTTATGTGAAACAGATGGAGTATGTTCTACTATACGGGTGTTAAAGATATTTCCTTATACCAAACTAGTAATTATTCTAGTGTGCACGGGCTAGCATTCCAAAAAGTAACAGAATAATTAGTACGATATATGAAAAAAAATACATGTTGTAATACGAAATATAGTACACTAATCTTGAAATAACTATTTGTGAAATTAGTATTATATATTAAGATTCTAGTAGATCTTTATATGGTATTTCATTATAAAAAAAAATGGGGTAATCTATAAAATAAATTATTTATTTGTTGAAAAAATGGAGTAATTAATATTTAAAAAAATACAAAGATGTCATTAAGGTTGGTTAGGGTTGCTGAACGTTTTATTCTTTTATTTATAAATATACACCGTACACAAGGATACTGTAATATATTTGGTCGTGGAATTATGCCTAAAATAGTTATTGCAAAAGCTTTAGAAAATAAATCATCAAAAATATTTTGTCAAATTTAAGCTAAAATTTAGATTTATTTTGCAACCACATAAACTTATAGATCATTTATCTGCTTGAACTTAATTTGTATTAAAATTTACAAACACTCTCAACTGTTAGAAATTAATAAACTGTATATTATATATACTATGCTGACTTTTACTCATAATCACTAACGTCTAATTTTTTAAAATATTTTGCATATATACCATGTTCAGGGTTAATGATAACTTCTTTATGTAATCACTAGCAATTATCATTTGGCAAACAAAAAATTAATTTCAAAAAAGAAAAGAAAACCTCGATTAATATTAATTAATTAATTTGTTTTTTGTTTTCTTCTAGTTCTCCATGCACCTCCACACCGAATCCTGATGCAAAATCTGAGTGGCCCAAGTTTTAAATACCAAAAAAAGGACAGGTGTAGCAACTAGCAATTGCATCCTCAAATCCACAAATTCTATTTCGTATCTTGTTTTTGAATGTGATATTTTGTTTTATATGCATAATTAATGAAAATAAATATTTATTTATTATAAGCACGTACTAATAGATATCAACTGATATCCTTATACTAGGATACATATGTTAATTAACTTAACACGCATTTTATAAAGTTAAATACAAAACGGGAAAATATTAATTAATTTACACATACATAGTTTGAATATTTGAAAAAAAATTAAAAGATTAAAAAATTAAAAAATAATTTTGAGGAATAATAAATTCACAAGTGGTGGACAGAGTCCCTCACACTGACGTCATAATTCAATAAATGCACCCGACAGTATTATTATTCGAGTGGGTTGTTTAAAGCAAACATTAAATTTTTGTCTCATGAGATTGAATAATGATGATTCACTCTTAACTCTATTTTAGATACACATGCAGGTAGTTTCCCTCATAAATCTTTTAGGTAAACTATTTATAATCTTCCCCATTATGTAATTATTCAATCCCTTATTTATTATCTCTCTCTCTCTCTCTCTCTCTCTCTCTCTCTACATATATATATATATATAGCTAGCTAGGTTCTTGCAAAGATTAATTAATTAAACATATATCATATCACCCCACAAAAGAATTGAATACTGTCTGAAAACCCTAAAATGGAAAGAACAAACAGCAGGGAGTTAAAGAAAGGGCCTTGGACTAGAGATGAAGACCAAAAGCTGCTTGCTTACATTCAAGAACACGGCCATGGAAGTTGGCGCTCTCTTCCTGCTAAAGCAGGTATTAATTATTACTATATATATCTTTTTAATTATTCATTGCATTCTTAATTAAAATTAATTGTTTTTTTCTAGGGCTTGAGAGATGCGGGAAGAGTTGCAGGCTGAGGTGGACAAACTATTTGAGACCTGATATTAAAAGAGGAAAGTTGAGCACGCATGAAGAGAAGACAATTATTCGTCTCCATGCTCTTTTAGGCAACAGGTATATATATATATACATCTATATATATATGTGTATATATATGTACATATGCATATAATATGGTTGTATTTATTAATTAATTTGGATTAGTGCACTCAGGTGGTCGGCAATAGCAGCGCATTTACCAAAGAGGACCGATAACGAGATCAAGAACTACTGGAACACCCGCCTCAAGAAACGGTTGACCCGAATGGGAATCGACCCGGTTACCCACAAGCCAAAGAACATCCCCGGCGGCTCGGCTCAGGCGGCCAACCTCAGCCACATGGCTCAATGGGAAACTGCTCGGCTCGAAGCTGAAGCCAGGCTCGCTCGCCAGTCGTCGTCCAAACTACTTCCGCCACCCAACGATAACCTCCTCCTCCTACATCAGTTCCACCGCAAGTTCAACGCCGCACCGCCGCAGAGGCGGAACCACCACCTGGTGGCCCCGCCGTGTTTGGACGTGCTCAGAGCGTGGCAGGCCACCACCGCGGTTCCCGACTACAGCTTCTTTGGCTCAGCCGCGAACGTAATCGAGTCACCGACTTCTACCCTGAACTTCTCCTGTGGCAGCAGTACTACTCTTACCGTTCCCACAGTCGGTGCCATTATTGAAAATGACGTCATGCCCACGTTCAACAGCTACGACGTGGCGTGTGTGTCGGGGGAGGAGACCGGGTACGCTGACGTGGATGGCAAAATGGAGAATTTGATGCAGCGCCACGACCAAAATAGTAATCTTGCTTATCCAGTCGATTTATACGATTGTGGTGATGATATGACCGCTTCATATGACTTCGCCGCAGATAATTACAACCCTAACCCGTCCGATATGTTCTCCGACAGCGCGGCTGGTGCCCTTGTCGGAGAATTTGACGACAGTAAGAATTATTGGAACGAGTTGCTAAATTTGGTTAGTAGCTCCCCCATGCCTATGTTGTAGGGCGTGACTAATTAATTAATTAATTAGTAGCTCACGACAAATGTATTACGTGTCAATTGTTTGACTAGTTTGACTTAGTTCTTAGGTTTGATGATGCATGTGATTTGCAACGTACTATAAATGTACGACCATTATAAACTGTAACTAGGGTTAGTGTTTCCCTGCAGGAGATTAAGATCTACTTGCATATGTTACCTTTAATTTGCATGCACTTAATTAATTTATGATGATCTTCATATATAGTTGTTTTTATTTTTATTTTTATTTTTATTTCATTATTAAAACCTCTCTCGGGTGAATCAAAGGTATCGATCTAGAGATTCTTACAACCAGTTTTTCGATTTGAAGCTAGCTATCGATTGATCTGTTATTTCACATATCGATCTCCCTCTCTATTATTTATTTGTTTTTTAGCAAAAACACAAAACATGAAATACTATAATCCAAATCGAAACTATACATACATGTTAAATTGATATACAAACATAAAAAAAAAAAAAATCAAGAAATGTACTTAAATATAGTGACAATGGAAATAGATTATACCATCAATTTAATGTCATTTAGCATTATTTTTTGTTTTAAGTTCGTCCTCGTCCCATTTCCTTTGACAATATATTCATTTTATTTTATTTAATATTGCATTATTCGGTATTTGAATTTAATAATATATATTTTTTAAATTTAAAATATAATTATCACTGTATTATATATATATTACAATTTTATAAGTAATATTTTATTCAAATAAGCCTGGCCACATTTCCATTGGGCCTAAATTACAACCCAAGCCCATTTCCATCCGGGTCGACCCATTAAACCGGCCCACTCAGTTCGTGTATTTTAAAGTAAGTAGGCCTAATTATATCTGAAGAAGGGCCGCAATTTAAAAATATCGCCATCACCAAACCAGCAATCGGAGAATGGCCGCCGGCGAAAGTGACGTCAGGAGAATCATGGTGACCTCACTCTCCGCGATGGTGGCGGAAACGACGACGTTCCCGATCGACCTTCTCAAGACTCGGCTCCAACTCCACGGCGAGTCGACTCAGTCAGTCCGTCCAGCGTCTGCGTACAGAATTGCCGTCCAAATCGCTAGAAACGACGGCGTTTTGGGGATGTACAAAGGCCTCTCCCCAGCTATTTTCCGTCACATGTTCTACACTCCGATTCGAATTGCCGGCTACGAGCATTTGCGCAACGTTTTCGCACAATCGTCCGATCGTCCTCTTCCTTTTTACAGTAAAGCAGTAATTGGCGGAATTTCTGGCGCGATTGCTCAGGTAACTATTTATTATCGCCGACTTAATTTCGCTTGCCGGAGTTGAATAAGAAATACTCAGTGCTTTTCATGGTGTGGCTTTGCTTAGTAGAACAAAATTAGGTTATAAGGCCGATTGATTCGATAATAATTATTCTTAGATGAAGAGATGCATTGCTAAGATATACTTCAAATGATCTACCATTGAAATTAGTATAGATTCAAATATTTGTATCGACTGATTGTTTCCCTATCTAATTGGCATGTTAACACCAGTCTTACTTAAGCTAATAACTAGAGGATGCTAATAATTAGTGGGGAGCTTAAGCAATTTATTCCCAAATTCGTTGCTTAATCGATGCCATTGCGTATCCATGTTATCTGTAATCGATGTCTGGTGCTATGAAGTTAGACTAATTGAAATACTATGGATGATTGCTAGCACTTTTACGCGTCGCTCTCTCGAACAAAATTACTGCTAACCATGTATGAAATACTATCAGCAATTCATCTTGTACTGATGGCTAAAAACGACAAGTGTTGCTCCTATTAATTAGTTCTGTAGCTTTTACTTTACGCGAGCGCTTACTTTTGCCTTTCAGCATAGGTAATTGCTAGCCCTGCTGATCTCATCAAAGTAAGGATGCAAGCAGACGGTCTTATGGTCAGCCGAGGTCTTCAGCCCCGATACTCGGGTTTATTTGATGCCCTAAACAAGATTATTCGCGCCGAGGGATATCTAGGCCTTTGGAAAGGCGTGTCTGCAAATGTCCAAAGAGCGTTTTTGGTAAACATGGGAGAATTAGCTTGCTACGATCATGCCAAGAGATTCATAATCGGAAACAAGATTAGTAATGACAATATTTACGCCCATACTCTGTCTTCTGTTATGTCCGGTCTTGCAGCCACTTCGCTGAGCTGTCCTGCTGATGTCATCAAGACTCGAATGATGAATCAGTCTGCTGGGGGTGTAATAACCAATATTAAATATAGAAACTCGTACGATTGTCTTGTGAAAACTGTTAAGGTGGAAGGATTGAGGGCTCTGTGGAAGGGATTCCTTCCTACTTGGGCTAGACTTGGCCCGTGGCAGTTTGTCTTTTGGGTCTCGTATGAGAAATTCCGACAGATTTCTGGGCTACAATCCTTCTAACATTTCGAGTACTAAACAAAAATATTTCTGGCCCGAATGAAAAAAAATATTCTGATATTCTGATATTCTTGGTCGGGCTGATGCACAACACAACACCATAGAGCATTCAAGGTGCGTTTTCTTATTAACTTCGCTCTCTAATGGAACTATCTGTATTCTTGCACTACCTTTGAATCTGAAATGTTGGTCATTTTGAAAAATAAGTTTATCGTATTTTTGTCTTTGGTTTCGTCTATGTCATACCATCTATCTCACTTCATCTAAGCCACTCGGTCCACTACATAACTCTGTCTACATCACCCTCCATTCATGTAAGTGTAGAGAATTTTAGAGCCCAGATTAGAGTTTTGAACTTTTGAGGTATTTATAGGAAAAGGTAATTCCTCGGAGCCCAAATCGGTTAACTTGGGCTTGCTTATTTGGCCCAGTTAGGATAATACTTGGGCCTGTGTCATTAACTCGGGGACTAACTCGATAGGACAAGTCACTGAACCCTTTAATGACCGACTTTATTTGCATAATTAAAGTGACCGTGGTCCAGGGCGAAAAAACTAAAGATCAGATATCTGTTAATTTAAATGAAGATATGGTTTCTTGTTGAGTTTGAGAGAACAATATTTGGAATGCAGTAAACTTTGTTGGTGAGGTATTGATAGCAGTGCAATCAAGAATAACAGTGCTTCTTTTAATTCGTCTGCTGTTTTAGGTAAACCGAAAGCTCCACACGCTATTTCTGCAGTTAGAATTGTTTGGATCATACTGTGTACACAATTGCCGGATTGCATGCAGTTTGGAACCACTAACATTTATTTTTCAAATGTGCTGTGCACTCGTATCGAAATATATTTCCTTATTCATCTCTGCAAGTACGAATGCATAAATAAACCATTCATTTTTCCGATTTTGCGTATGGCAATTAAAGCGCATGTTAGTAGTTGAGGAATAAAGGCCGGGTGAAAAAAATACGTCGATCCCCCACCACGTTTACGGAGACAATTTTGTTAATATATCTTCAATTCCCAACAGTTTTTGTTTTTTAATCAACATAATCGTCTCTATTTGATAATATTAGTAGGGTAAAATTACGGCCAACCCCAGAGGTTATGTCAAATTACGAAAAAACCCCTCTTGTTAAGGTAATTACAACCAATTCCCTCAACTATGAATCTTTTTACACGTCCACCCTTATGGTGTCAAATTCAATAGAATCTTTTAGATTCCGTGGAATGTTGTCTAGTTTGTACTCGTTTTTTGCAAAAGTGCAGTTTCTGATGCACCACAATCTGATATCTACAAGCCATAGAACACATCTTAAGATCATCTTGCTTCAAAATGTGGAGCTCGAATGGGGTAAAATTGGTACAAAGTGGAGAATAATCCACATAATCTAGAAGATTCCACTAAATTTCACACCGCAAGAATGGACGTGTAAGAAGATTTATAGTTGAGGGGTGGTTGTAATTATCTATCACGAAGTGTTTTTTTTTTTTTTTTTGTAATTTGACCTTAACTCAGGGGATGGCCGTAGTTTACCCTTATTATTATGCATAGAGAAATATTAAAATAAAAAACAATTTCAACTTTTAGTGCATGTTATCATACATAAATGTAGATTACAATTAACTTACACATATCCACGTTTAATACGTGTAACTAGTATTTGAAAATGGATGTTTATTTTTTATTTTGTGGTAGTTGAAAACTGAATATTTTTTTTCTAAATTGAAGCCAACATACACTTGTTATTTTTGGACACTAATTGGGACCTTGTTCAGCTTTTCTTTAAAGCACTGTTAATTACTTTGGGCCATACTCTCATAAACAAATGACTACCTAACGAGATTTACGTGCATTGTACTACAGAATTTGTTACAACTGAATACCATTTATATAGCTCAACAATAACCCTGACAAGGTAAATAAATAAATCTTCATATATACAAGGAAAGTTATTTGTGTTAGGTAATATGTGTTTACCTGAAACTTTGTGATAATAGATTTTTTTTTGGGAATATATGATAACTTTGTGATAATAGATTTTTTTTTTTTTTTTAATATATGATAGTAGTACCGATGTATTGCAAAATCTTGAAAAAAAAAATATATTGTTTAAATAATATATAGTTTCACCCTGGTTCAAGCCAATATTAATTCATTAGGGGTAGAAATTGGACGGATCGAATCGGAATTATTGCTTTCAGGAGGATTTTGTTTTTCTGCAAGTGAAAAACTAATTCCCAATTTCGTTCAAAAAATCAGAAATATCGGACTTTCGAAAATTGGATCAGAACCACCACAATTCGGAAAAGAATCAAAATTTTCAGATTCATTTTTGAAATTAAAATCGGATTGATATATTCCAATTTTATCCAAAAAAAAAAATTGAATATCGACGGAAATTGGAAATGCCGTTCAATCTTGTCACTGCTGAATCGAACCGTGCATATATAAAAAGATTATATCATTTCGTGAATTAAAAACCTCGAAGTTTCTATTTAGTTTTAAGAAAAGTTAAATCCCAAATGAAAATTACTTGTATCAGAGGTCCTTGATCAGTCATTTTGTAAATCAGAATGAACGTGCATGAACGACTGGATTACGAGAAAGAGAAGCAACGATCCAAGGACAAACCCCGCGATATTTCAATAGAAAATTGCCCAAAAAGACGTTCGAACCTGTATTAACGGAGAAATGATCGATACATCACTTCAGCTCTTACCACCGTGGGGCAAGTTGTCATTTATTATTACTATTACGTACGGGTGACAATTGGAACATTTATTTTTTTAATTATGGAGATATTGATCGATAATATACAGTTATGGCAACAATATTATTTTAATTTCGAAAGTTTTGATTTTTTTTTATTCGAGAATTACAATTATAAATTATATATTTTTATCAATTCTAATCCGAAATGTTCATTCCAATTTTGATTTCTAATTTTTTTTTTTCCCTTTTTCCTTCTGAAAGTGCTAGATCTGATCAGATATTACACAGTATTGAATTAGCATGCAACTTAATTAGCCAATTCGCATAAGTAAGCAGCAACCATATGAATTTAATTAAGTGGTCCAAATATAGTACTAAAATCTAAATTAATGTACAGTGCAAATTTAAATTAATTTAATAAAAAGTATAAGTAACTGCGAAGACGTTGCCCGATCGAGTGGTACTGGGGTGGGAACGGTAATATTAATTTAATAAAGTTGATTAATGAATGTTGAATGGTCCCATAATTAAAATTGTTTCCAATAAAATGGTCCTAAATTTGGTGAAGTACTATCATTTATAATATTTTATTATCTGCACAGATGAACAAGTGCATGTCTCAGATGAAACTCTCAAGTTTGAAACTCACAGTTAAAAACATAACATCAAGTTATTTATAAATTTGTTTTCTCAACAGCAAATCTACTTAATCTAAAATACATTTAAATTGGATTTATAAAGATTTGGGTACATTTCCCTATAACACGGTTCAAATCCTCCCGCCACTTCTCCTATTTCCCCAATTTGTAACAGGATTTGAATTTTTCAAAAAAATAAGAAAGAAAGAAAGAGCCAGTCATATTTCTCAAAAACAAAAAAAAAATATTACCATCTTATTCATTATGAAATATTAAAGTCATTACTTATTTATTATATTAATTAATAAAATTATGGATTCGTCACACCGACCATCTCTTAGAATTGCAAGCCGCGATAATGACTTGATCAAGGACCCAAGGGTCATAGACAATGGAGCAAGCTAAGAGAGCTAATATCAACTGACCCATGTTCGAATCTCATTGCCATCAATGCACTGCAAGCCCAGCGTATAATTTAGATCCCTCGTGTGATTTTCAAGTTATTGTATAAGGGTAAAATTTATCGAGTAGTACACTTATACAGTTGGCTTCGAGTTCCTTCGTGTAAAAAAGAAAAAAAAAAAAAGCTTTTTGCATGTTAAAAAGTAAAACCTAGTTGCCATAATTCACCATGCATGGCACCACATTCTTCTCTTACTAAAGTTACATCCGATCCGCATTAAATTCTTGATCGTTATAACTTCTATATATATATATTCTATGAACCATAGACATGGTTCCTTCGATGCTACACCCGGTGAAAAACACCGGGTGGGTCTTCTGCTGCCACGTGTTCTTTTTTTATTTTTCTAAAACCCCTAAACCGATAGGGTTTCCCTTTAGGGGTTTCCGAAAAATAAAAAAAAAGAACACGTGGCAGCAGAAGACCCACCCGGTGTTTTCACCGGGTGTAGCATCGAAGGAACCTATTACATATAA